CTAAAATCCTACCAAAGTAAAGCCTGCAAAGCTTTGAATACGATCGCGAGGCAACTGGACCTTCTTGTTTTTTCTTTGAAGACGTTTCGCTTCTCATCCAAGAAGCTTCTTCAGATTTGAATATGATCATTTCTTCGCTCCGACACCCGGATTCCTCTTGCAGTGGCAGAGGAAGAATACCCTTTGGGCTCTCACCTTTACAATGAATTCCCTTGGGGGGCTTTCAAAAAGCAGAACTGCCTCTCTTCAGGTTATACCGGCAGGATTTTCTTCCAACAGGGGAGAAGGGAGCCACAGAGAAGACCTTCAGGGCAGATGGGCAGGGAAAAGTCCAAAACTCCTCAGGAATCAAGAAAAAAAGGTTTTGGCCACAAAGGGTGCAATGAGGCCGATCAGCCGAAAGGGACCCCAATGCCAGTGCTGTCCTCACTGCCGGAATTCACTAACCCGGGTCAGCCCAGCTAGGAAGAGCGGCCCATCCATCTCCCTCATCCTCTTTCATAGGCAGGAAACGCTTCACCGTCCTAAAGACCTGAGTTTTCCTTTTGCTTTTCTTTCCCAGGCCTCCTATCCTATCCCGCCTCGGAGGGCTTCACTTCTCAGGTTACGAGCTGCAGCATCAATGTAAGCAGATATGTAGAAAGATCCACTGCCTTTCTACAAATTACATGAACGAATAACCCCGATAATATCACTTTCCCCACCAGCGCCAGACAGCATACCAATTTTCCCCATTCCAGTTGGATCCTCCTCCAAAGTTGTTGGTTGCCACCCCGTTGGTGCACAGATGAAATGGAAGCGTGATGAACTGTGTTGCCAGAACCGGCCAATCTGTGTACCCTGTGGTTTAATGAATTAAGTATTTTGCCTGATCTATAATTACCCTGTGCACAAGACTGAATCAGGAAGCAGACAACCTATTTTAGCTAACAAGAGTTGTGCAATCGCAGTCTCACTCAGCCGATGTGTTACTGTAATTTCATAAACAAATCATGTTGCCACTCTAATTTCAGTCTTGTTGGGTTATCGTTTAAGGAGGTATGTACTCTAAACAGGTCTATCTAATGACTTGGGTGAGCAAAATAAGCAGGGGGGTATTTTCTACTTCCTGCCTGTTTCCCCACTGACTTTGCTTGTTGGAAGCTTGCAGGAAAAAAAGAAGCATCCATAAAAAATACTGTCTTACAAAGTCCAAATTCAGTTTTCATTGAAATGCTGAATGATCTTTTTTCACACAACTATGTTTTATTTATTTTAGCTTTGTTTATTCATTTATTAGCCAAAATGTCTGCTTAAGACCAATTTGAAGACTACTTGCACAATCCGCCACATCAAGACTCTGCGGGAAAAAAAAGATCTCACGAAGTTGGAAGGTCTGACTGAACTTTTTTTAGTCCCACAATTCTCCATTTGAGAATTACCTTACTAATGCTAAAAAAAAAAATCACTTATGGAGGCTCTCCAGGCTCTAGCATTTTATACTAGTGAAAACATACAATTTCCATTTTATTGTTCCTGGCTACTAATTATATATCTTCTTTCTTTCATTTGATTGTTTTATATGGTCTTCAGTGCCTATGGTATTCAAGACAAAAACAAAGAGCAATAGAATACACAAAGTAACTAATATGATATGTAGGGATATTTTCTAGCTATTACTTCAGCTTTATTCCGTAGATATTTTTATGTCACATGACATAAAAATAAAAAAAACAATATGGAATAACTGCAAGTAAAATATATTTAAATATTCTTAAAAATGAACTACATTTCAGTCTGTTACTATCATTTAAGTGATTTAAAAGCATTATTCAATATGTTGTTGTTGTTAATTGCGAAGTCGTGTCCGACCCATCGCGACCCCATGGACAATGTTCCTCCAGGTCTTCCTGTCCTCTACCATCTTCTGGAGTCCATTTAAGTTCACACCTACTGCTTCAGTGACTCCATCCAGCCATCTCATTCTCTATCGTCCCCTTCTTCTATTGCCCTCAATCTTTCCCAGCATTAGGTCCTTCTGCAGTGAATCCTTCCTTCTCATTAGGTGGCCAAAGTATTTATTATTATATATATATATATATATATATATATATATATATATATATATATATATATTACCTTGAATGAACACCCTGTCAGCCCAGATATGGGAGAAAGAAATCTTCTTTCTTTTCTTTTCTTTTGCCTGTATCAGCTCAATCTAGAGCCATCCACAAGCAGCAGTCACTAACTGCGACATCATTTTACATTTTTAGGTTTTTAGGTTTTGCTAACAAAGAATAAAGAGAGAATGGTATAGCTAGGAACCCGAAATAGCTATACCATTCTCTCTTTATTCTTTGTTAGCAAAACCTAAAAACCTATATATATATATATATATATATAGATATATATAATATATATATATATATATATATATATATATATATATATATATATATATCCAGCAGTAACCATAACCCTGATCTCAAGATATTTATAAGTCAGTTTCCTGTATCACTGATAGAAGTACGTTACAAATACTTTTTAATAATCTAAAAATTGAATAATCAGTCTGAAAGAAAATAATTAAACAGCAAATGGAATTGAAGATGTTAAAATAAAAGCAATACATTTTGCAACAGCAATAAAGCTCAAAAAAAATATAAAAACTTAAAAATTTAAATGGACAGAAAAGGTCCTAAATACGGGCATTAGTCCCTTCTTTACCTGTTGGATGACTTCTCTATCTGTTTAATACTTTTCACAAATCATTACAGTAGTGACTATTTCCCAAATCCAACCTTTCAATGATAATTATCAAATGATCATCATAACAACTTGTTTTGTACAATTTCCTTTTAAGATCTTAAGGCAGTTGAAAAGTAAGGTTTAACAGGCTTATGTTTTTGTATATGTATTATTGGCAAGTGGGGAATTAGTGTCTTGCCATATGTGTATTATTAAGTTAAATGTGATCATATAACATCAGATTTACATTTATAAAGTACAATAGAAAGAATAAGAAAGAAAATATTTATTATCATTTACTATGAATAAATAGTACAAGTAGTACAAGTAACAATCAAAATACTTTTTTTCGGGAAGTAGAATTACAGCAAATATAAGATTTATGGGAGTTCTATTTTTATTACTATTGGATATATTTCAATGCTCAGAGATCCCCACTCCACTCCAAAAAATCCTGACAGAGAAATAGGCTTATAGTATAGCACTCTAATTTCATATGGCATCTTCTTAAAACAATTTTATGCATGCTGAAATCTGAAAAAAAGACGTAATAAAGCTAATTTTCTACTTAAATTTTTAAAGGAAGAAAGTTCTGCCTTGTGGATTATAATGGTTAATACAGAATGGTTTTCATTTAAGAGCTCTGGAGAACTATCCTCCCCCCAAAAGTAAAAATATTGCTCAGAACATTATCAAATATACTTTTCTCCCACAAAGTTTTAAGTTATTTTGTATTAATAAAAACAACAAAGTAAATGTCCCACGCATATCATAAATAAGCTATTGATAGGTAGGTTTAGACAGTTATAAATATGCAAATAAACGTACATGGAATGTTTAAAACAAAATCTAAGCTTAAAAATGGATTCAACACTATGAGGAACCTTAAAAAATGCTCAGAATTGAACATTATACATGAAAAAGGAGTCTCTACAGATTTTTCTCCACTAGTTGCCGACTATCCATGAAGGGCACTGTAAATAAAGTTGTTGTCAATAATCATTCAATCATACATTTGAGCATATAGCAAACCACAACGACATTAAAATGACATGTACACTATAGTGCAAATGATGCAGTAAAGAACTTCTGTCATGCTGTTTGACTATTAATTCAACTATTTGACTAGAGGCATCTTTAAAATACATGAATGGATCTATTCATTAATATTCATTAATATTCAGCCCACTCTATATATAGTAACCAAAGGGGAAAATACTGAAACATGTTCTTAGGAGACATGCTTTCCAATAAAAGGATTATCACTTCAAATCTCTATGCAAATGTTCTCTGTTTGATGGGATTGTAACCGGCTATGTAAGCCTCGGTTTGAATGATTATTGATCCCAGAGTCACTATAGTAAGGAAGGCACATCTTGATGGCTTCGCACTGCCTTGGCACAGAAGTATACCTATAATCCATGAATTTTAATTTCCAAGAGACACAAGATATAATAAATTAGCAGTTTACCCAAAAACGTAATACTTGCTGGGAAATAGCAAAATGATTAATTTCTACTGCAGAAGTTCTTCTTTATGCAATGCTAATTCATATTATTTACAAAGTCTTAAATTAACTTTCTCTTTTTAAATGCTAGCATAAGCAGTGCTTATAATTTATAAGCAGTGCTAATAATTTATAACTAAATTCTAAGTATAGTTCTAAGTATTAATGAATATAGATACTGGATCTTTCTTGCTCATATGAGTAGCTTCTGCATACATAAATTTGATTACTTTAAAATTTTGGTAAAGAAACATTTAATTAAAATCTTTTGTATATACTATAATTTAGCTATTTTTCTACATTTAACATTTTTTGCATTTTCTATGAAACACTTATGAACACACATTAAAGTAGGAGAGGAAAAAGTAAATTAAGTGAAATAAAAAGAAAATAAAAGTAATCTTGCCTGTGGGAAGATTACACTAGATATCAGGAGACGACCTGTAAAAGAAAGAATGTCTATATAGGTAGTTCTCGAGTTACAACAGTTCATTTAGTGTTCAAAGTTACAACGGCACTAAAAAAAGTGACTTATGACCATTTTTCATACTTATGACCATTGCAACATCCCCGTGGTCATCTGATTAAAATTCAGATGCTTGGCAATCGACTCATAATTATGAGGACTGCAGGGTCCCAGGGTCATGTGATCATCTTTTGCAACCTTCTGACAAACAAAGTCAATGGGGAAGGCAGATTCACTTAACAACCGTGTTACTAACTTAACAATTGCAGTGATTCACTTAACAATTGTGGTAAGAGAGATAGTTAAATGGGGCAAAATTCACTTAACTGTCTCACTTAGCGATAGAAATTTTGGACTCAATTGTGGGTGTAAGTTGAGGATTATCTGTATAAGAATGTCAATTGTTGCAATTTTTTTCTTAAACAGAACAAGGTGTAATAGAATTAGATTTCCTATTGTGTCCAAGAAAGATACCGTTAAATATTATTTTATGCTTTAAAATTATTCAAAATTATACCCAACTAAAAGTTCCTTTTAATTACATGATCCAATATATTTTTCATAAAAATGAATTAGCGCAAGCCTGATTTAACAGAGGAATCAAAGAGAACTACTACTATATTGGAGAATACATGGAATAAAAAAATCCAAGTTTTATAAAAAAATACCAAATTTAGTCCCAATCCATTTAAAGCTTACACTTAATTTAAGAAGTACTAGAAATATGCTATATATTTGATGCATTTTCAAAAAGCCTAAAAATCATGTTTACATCTTATTCCAAATTAGGATTGTGGTTTTTAAACTATAGTTTTATTTCTGTGAAAACAAAGTATTTATACTGAAAGATTTACTTTCCTGAGCAATACATGTAACAATGATCTTCAAAGTCTGGTTTTCTGTAAAATTATACATTTGCACAGCAAATAAAAAACTATTGTAACAATTCTTAAATAATATTTCACATTAAAATATCATTCAAAAATTTTCATAGTGATTTGCCAAAGTTATTCATTGTCTTGTTTCTCTGTTGAAACTCGTTCCATCAAGGCTCTCCACACATTTCCTGGTATTTTCTGATGTTTGTCTATTAAACATTGTAGTGCATCCTTTGTCTATGAGGGGAATGAATGATGAGAAATATAAATTATTCATTATTATTGTATAATTCAATGGTAAATTACATTTAAAAATCAAAAGAAAAATGAATCCTTTTCAAAATACAATATAACATTAACCAGACATACAGTAATTTAACCCTGAAATTACAGAACCCACACAAATACAAAATATATAGATTTCTCATTGTGGAAATTAGTTTTCATTAGACAATCTATAGTTTAAACACTACAAAATCAAATGATAAACATAGGAGTAGGTTTCAGCCATGCTGATACTGGGCTACTCTGATTTTGTGTTTGTTAAAAGGGAATTCAGTCTTCTGCTGAACGGCAAGGCATTCTGAAACTCCAAGCTCCATTGAGCAATGCAAAATCCTTTATTTATATAATACAGTGAGAGAGAAAAGTATTTGATCTCTTGATTTTGTACATTTGCTCACTGACAAAGAAATGACCACTCTATAATTTTAATGGTAGGTTTATTTTAACAGCAACAAAAAAATCCAGAAAAACACATTTCAAAAAAATCTATAAATTGATCTGCACTTTAATGAGTGAAATAAGTATTTGATTCCCTATCAATCAGCAAAATTTCTGGCTCCCAGGTGTTTTTTCTACAGGTAACAAGCTAAGATTAGGAGCACTCTCTTAAAGGATGCCCGACCACCTGTTCACAGAAGCAATCAGTCAATCAGATTTCAAATTCTTCACCATAGCCAAGACCAAAGAGCTGTCCAAGGATGTCAGAGATAAGATTGTAGACTTACTCAAGGCTGGAATAGGCTACAAGTCTATCACCAAGCATCTTGAGGATAAGATGACAACAGTTGGTGCAATTATTCGCAAATGGAAGAAACACAAAATAACTGTTAATCTCCCTCGGTCTGGGGCTCCATGCAAAATCTCACCTCGTGGAGTTTCAATGATCATGAGAACGGTGAAGAATCAGCACACAACTACACGAGAGAATCTTGTCAATGTTCTCAAGGCAGCTGGGACCATAGTCAACAAGAAAACAATTGGTAATATACTATGCCGCAAAGGATTGAAATGCTGCAATGCCTTCATGGTCCCCCGGCTCAAGAAAGCACATGTACAGACTTGTCTGAAGTTTGCCAATGAATATCTGAATGATTCAGAAGAGAATTGGGTGAAAGTGTTGTGGTCAGGTGAGACCAAAACCGAGCTCTTTGGCATCAACTTAATTCACTGTGTTTGGAGGAGGAATGCTGCCTATGACCCCAAGAACACCATCACCACTGTCAAACATGGAGGTGGAAACATTATGCTTTGGGGGTGGTTTTCTGCTAAGGGGACAGGACAACTTCACAGCATCTAAGGGACAATGGACAGGGCCATGCACTGTCAAATCTTGGTTGAGAACATCCTTCCCTCAGCCAGGGCATTGAAAATGGGTCATGGATGGGTATTCCAGCATTACAATGACCCAAAACACACGGCCAAGGAAACAAAGGAGTGGCTCAAGAAGAAGCACATTAAGGTCTTGGAGTGGCCTAGCCAATCTCCAAACCTTAATCCCACAGAAAAACTATGGAGGGAGGTGAAGATTCGAGCTGCCAAACGTCAGCCTCAAAACCTTAATGACTTGGAGAGGATCTGCAAAGAGGAATGGGGCAAAATCCCTCCTGAGATGTGTGCAAACCTGATGGCCAACTACAAGAAATGTCTGACCTCTGTGATTGCCAACAAGGGGTTTGCCACCAAGTACTAAGTCATGTTTTGAGAAGGGGTTAAATATTTCACTCATTAAAATGCAAATCAATTTATAACTTTTTTGAAATGTATTTTTCTGGATTTTTTTGTTATTATTCTGTCTCTGTTAAAGTAAACCTACCATTAAAATTATAGACTGATAAAATTATAGACTTTGTCAGTGGGCAAACATACAAAATCAGCAGAGGATCAAATACTTTTCTCTCTCACTGTATAATGTCATAAACTATTCTTAGAGTATTAATTCTGTTATTAAACCATATACGATTGATAAAAATCCCAATTTATTCATCTATAAAAAGTAACCAGTTAATTTTAGGAGACTTCATAGTTTCATACTCTTTCCCACATCTTCACTGAAAAAAGTGTTCATGAACAAAGGCAAACTCTAATCTGGGAAGAAGAATAAATCATTATTTTTCATAAAGGTGAATTAGTGCAAGTAGGATGGGACTTATCACTTCTGGTCTATTTAAAATTTTGTTGAGGCTCCAAGATTAATCTGACTGATAGAGCTTAGAAACAGAATTGTTTTTGTAAATGGTTCCAACCTCAGTGAATTGTCTCTCTAAGGATGTGCAGCTCTCCCTTTCACTTTATTTCTCTAAACAAGTGTGGAAATCCATCTCTAATGGCTGTTGACTGCTGAGTTTTACTATCACATTGTTGATAGCTGATTTTTTATTCTTTGGCTCTAGAAAAGTTTTTTAGGCTATGCAAAATTATATCATAATGTACTTTTGCTTCTATATGATTGAACTGTAAAATATATTTTTATTTCTATAATTTTAATGAACTCATGAATTAATATGCTACCTTTTAAAACAAAAAAGAATTCCAAATAGTTCAGAATCAATTGATAAAAAAATTAAAAGCAGTTCCTAAAAATTTAAACTACAGACACTTGACCATTATGCATTTAAGAACAATTAGAAGTAAAAAAATAAAAGAAGTAGAGAATACTGCTACTACATAAAAAATAAAACTCAAGAATTCCTTGTATTTTGGGAACTTTGCCTAGAAAATAAATCAATAGATATTGACAAAATTCCCTAATCTTTCATTCAGCTTAATTTTCAAACAATCCTGTGTTTTTGTACTATTTATTTGAATAAAAATTTATGTTTCGATCCACAGTTTGAATCACAAAAATATTCTCTAAACATCCATATAGTTAGTATAAGCTGACAGTATTTTGGCAATCCATCCAGGAGTCTTTATTTTAACCTTGTGAGGTTATTTTACAAGGTTATTTTAACGTGGTAACCTTGATCAGGATATTAATACTCTAAAAGGAAGATCTTACTTTTTCGGTCAGTTCTTCTGCTGTTATGTTTGGATCATATGGAATAGGATCTCCCAAATATGTCTGCAGTTTAACTGGAAAGTTTCCATACAGAAGAACTAGTGGCAAACGAAGATACTCATATATCGATCTTAATAATTCTGGTTAATTAAAAAAAAAGGGATTAGTAGTGTAGCAGGTACAATTATGTATTTTACCCATTTATTCATTTAAAAAATCCAAGTAGTAGTGATTCAGTCACAAAACCTGTATAAAGTTGCTTCCTGTCACAAATCTGAATAGCAGTTTAGTGCATGCTTCCAGCATCATCTTGAACTCTGCATTAGGAACTTAAAGCTGCTGTAAGGACCCATCCCACTTTGCAACTTAAGAAGACAGAACTCTTAGAATATTTCTTCCAACAGGCATCTTTATTAAGAGAAAAAGGTTGCAGGCGTTCTAGACAGGACCTGGGGCCCAAGCCCTCCCATTCAAGGTTTCAAGGGGTCCTCAGCAGCCCCACCCCACCCCACCATCCCTCCAGCGACAATCCCAGGCATTACATTTCCATCCCCTTTTTCCTCACAGCCAGCAGAAGGGAGACTTCAGAGAGGAGTAGATGAAAGCTGATGGGCCCTATTGTTATGATTAGTCCGTTTGGTGATATCCACATTCAGTCCCTTTGAAGTTGTAAGGAAGGAAGTGAGAGCCATAAAACCCCTTTGCTCATCCTCTTTCCCTTTCGTAGTATGACAGAATCCAGAGAGGGCAGAAATGGGGTTTTCCATAGTTGATAACCAGAGATGAAATATAATTGGATTCTGACAGCTGCATTGCAGCTTGCTAAAATATTAAAGGACAGAGAAAGATACCAGGCTAAAAAACTAGGATGTAGTGAAAGAAGAGGAGACAGAAGAGAGGTAATTGCAAGGAGAAGCAGTGCTTGCAATTAGTCGCTATATTGGTTTGTAATGGTCTGGAACAAGTTTGAAGTCTGGAAGTGGTCTTCATGGAAAATGACATTTCTAATTTCACCTAAAAGGATTGAGGTTCTCATAAATCTATACAATGTTGCTTCCTAACACAAATCAGAACAAGGTGAGGATGTTATGCCAGAGTCCTATGGAAGTCATTACCATAAAATTTGGTGATATCCACTAACCCAAATGATTCTAAAAGCAGATGTATAAAGTGATGAAAGGCAGTTCTATGAATAGTGGGAGCAATAGCATTTAGACTTATATTCCACTCCATAGTGGAATATAATGTCAACATTTACCCCCAACTGTCTGGATCCTCAATTTACCGACCTTGAAAAGATGGAAGGCTGAATCAACCTTCAGCTAATCAGGATCTAACTCCTGGCTGTAGGCAGAGTTAGCTGGAAACACTGCATTCTAACCACTGCACCACCATGGCTCCTAAGAGTTAAGGGCTATTGGTCTTGAAGATTCAATGTTACCTCTGTGTTGGGAACATTGTGTTTTTAAATGCCAGTTATAAGAGATTCATGGTCAAAGAGGAATATGCTTCCACCTCCTATCTGTGAATACTGTAGAAGTATCTGGATGGCTACTAAATGGCTGCTTCTTGCTTGATCAAGAAGAACTGTTCTTACGAGTTAATTTGTCAACAATAACAGTTTTGATTTATATCCGCTTTATATTAACGAGACTGGACATAATGTTGCTGCCTCATATTTTCTCCATAACAATCCTGTGATATGAGTTCGACTAAGAGAAAGTGACTGAGCCACAATCACCAATGGGTTTTATGCCTAAGAGAATACTAAAACTCAGAGTGTCCCAGTTTCTAGTCAAGCACCTTAAACACTACACTAAACTAGCTGAGTTTTCAATTTTTTCATCTTTTTATTTTATCAAACTGTAATCTCTCAAAGGAGAAATATCAAACCTCAAAAGCAAATGATAGAAAATTATCTATTGTCATGAAGAATAGCCAACAAATTCTACATGTCCAGACTGTACTGTAATGCAGTGATTAAAGAGATGAACATGGATCCATCTAGGGTACTTAATTTTGAATCCGTCCTTCATGCAGTCTCAGGACAACTTTACATTGAGACAGATTCATACTGTTGATCTGGTATTAAAAATAGGAAATCCAGATATGTTGCTTTCAGCTGCCACAAAAAGACAATATATAAATGAAATAACAATAGTTTCTTCTTGTACAAGAAATCAAGCAGCTTATTTATATATTAGAACATGATATTAAAAACCAGAGCATTTTATTTAAAATCATATCCAGCATTATAGGTATAACAGAGCCAAAATGAGCTCTAATTAGGACAAACAAAATATAATCACAAATAACTTAATACAATACAATCCAAACAAAGTTGCATACTTATTTGTCCTCCAACTATTCGAATATTTTCCCGAATATTTCGTGTGAACGTGGGAATGATGGGCTGAAAGAATAGAGTAATGGAGATACATATTAACAAATTATTTCCCATAATCAACTGATTTTATACTAAATCACAAAGTTATATACAAGTATAGGAAACTATTTCTTAGTCACATTTCCAAGAAACTAAAGTATCTTTTTCTTTTTTTGCAAGCACTCAGTGGGTGAATTTTGTAACTTACAGGGAATTTGAGTCTTAGTCATCCATTCTCAATCCAACCTTCTCACTACAAAGTTAGATAAGTCTCCCATTATTGCAACTTCAATCTATAGGAATTATAGGTCCGCACTCTGAGAATATTTGAGCTAGAATGTTAAGTATATTAAATTTTTGCACTGCTCTTTTATGTATGAAGTTCTCCACATTTCAGAAAAGCAACCTCGTCCTGCAAGTAGTTAATGAAATAGAAATTTATCTAGGATATTCTCAAATGTCCATTTTCATCAAAGAAGTTATGGAAAAATCTGAGATGTTGGTAATAATCATTTTGTCTGCATTAAGAATGGGAGAGGCATTTTGCAAAGTCTGTTGGCGCAAGCAAAGCATTCATGCTTGAAAACATTCATTCAGCTGCTGTGTCTGGAAGCTCAGAGAACTCCTTGAAGAACTTCTTAAGTTGTCTATAAATGTATGCAAGGCAATACTTTCAGTGGAAATATCCTCAAAGCAAAGCAGCTGTGCAATACATCTGGGAAGGTTCCTGAAAACCCACAGAAGCATCTGAGGACTGTATCTGCTTCAATGCTTTAAAAAACAGGTTTTTGCTGCCAACTGACTTTTTAATTTGTCCCTGTCAAGACTCTGCAGTCCTAACAATGATGCATTTCTCCCTAAAAAAGTATCATACCAACCAAAGGAAACATAAAATAAGCCCCAGATAGAGTATATTAGAATTTGATTCATAAAATTTTGGAGTACCAGTATTTGAATTGTTCAATGTCAGCTATTAATTAGCATTAATATGGTATTAAGTAAAACTTATCACAGTACATAATGCCATAGTATTTATATAAATATTATGGAAAAATTGTATTGAAAATCTGAAGAGATACATTGTCATCTTGCCCTTTTTAATGCATAAGCGGTTATGACTCTTTTTAATGTGTATACAGTTATAAAAGTGTTGTATCAGCTGCTTTTATATGGAAAGAAAAGCCAAACAAAGGAGCAGACTAGAAAACATTTCCCTAACTTTTTTTTTCTGAACAGTTGGAGAAATCTGGAGAAGGGCATGCACTACTATTAATTGATTTTTTAAAAATAATATACTAAATGATTAAAATGTAAATTAAATTTACATTAAGGAAGCATACCAAATTGATACAGAAACACACATGTTCAAGGAACACATTTCATTAGTTTCTAGAAATTTGTGAAAATTGTTTTTAAAAAGGATCAGAGTAAGTATAATGTGATACCTCAGATTCTGTAAAGCACAGAAAGCAAAGAAACACCATAGATACAGTCTGAGACTTGTGTGTATGTCTCTCCTCCCTCACTTCAACAGTTCTGATACAGTAATGTATAAAGTAAAAAATACATTTTTTTAAACTACACGCTTTTCAACGGTAACATTTCCCTTTCCTGCTTCTTTAACTAAAATGAAGAGAAGCTATATTTCTTAGAATTCAGCAGTTTGTATATGTATTTGGAACAAAATTTAAAATAAACTAAATCAATAAATATGCAATTGTTTAAAAAATACGTTTCAATTGTGCATACAAAACATACTTTAGAAGTAAATAAAGTTACACATAATACTTTTTAGGAAGTTAACAAAATTATATCTATAAAAGGTGCTGAAAATAAGTACTGTGAGGTAGAGTGAATACTGACTGGCCCAAGAATCTGAGGATGGGTTGAGTTTTCTTAGTATCAGTCCAACCCCCTAAGATCACTATAGGACACTGGACTGTTTCTAATTTGGCTGAATCACCTCTCTCCATCACATTGTTTCCTATTGCTTAAAGTTTACCAGGAAGGGTTTATTGTCAGAAATATCATATTTCTAAGCATGGTATACATAATCAGCTGTAATCTTATATTCCAGTTACTCCCACAGAATACTTACCACTTTTGCGTCAATGGCCACTTGAGCAAATCCTTTACGATTTCTCCACATAATAGTATAATTTTCATCACTGAACAGTGCTTCCCGTACTCCCCCTGGTGAAATTACTACCAGTTCTCCATTCTCTAATACTTTTCTACATTCTTCTTGAGATCCATGCAGAGCATGGAACACATTAATTAATAACTGTATACCTGAAATTCATAAGAATCTGTTATAGGACTAATAAAATTACGATCTCTCCACAGATACTATATTTTATCAGAAAAATACAGAATAAACAATGAACTACAAAGCAGGTATAAATTATGAGAAAGACAAAAAGGATTACATTTTCACCAATCCATATGTAATGAAATATCTTCAAATCAACACTCAGTGATAAGAATTATAGATTTATAATTTTTTTATAATGAAAATTTATCCTGATAAGAAATCTATCAATTAACAGCCAATAAATATCTTTACATAGTTTATGCAGTGTGTGTATATATATATATATATATATATATATATATATATATATATATATATATATATATGCTGTAAAGTTTACATCATATTGATTATTTAAAAAGCACTTTCCCTCAACTATCAATAGCCAGAAACAATTTAACTATAATGTAGTTGCAAAAGGCTTCATGATAAGAAATTTGAAATCCAAAACTGATACAATAGTATATCTAAGTTTCTTTTAGAGTGCAGTTACATAAGACTTCGGGACAGGAAATTAAATCTTAACAAGCTAGAATAATTGAATAATTAGAAGTTGAATCAATTGTTATTTAAAATAAAAAAAATAAAAATAAAAAAAATAACTTAGTTTACTGCTATCTTGCAATATATATCACAACCCTAACTATGAAGTAAAGCTTATCCACACAGTACATTACTTCAGATGTATAAATAATTTATCTTAATTATTCAGAACAATTACCTGGAATTAAAAACACAAAATGATCAGCAACTAGATGGAGGATTCTTCTTTTCCTGATAAGAACAGTGGCTAACAAGTACAAAAAGTCTATGGGAGTTGCTCCGTGATAAAAAATAATCATTGCTGGTCCATCTGGTAGTTTTTCAAGACCATGTACCTCATAACCTGTTACGGACAGAAACAATCAAGATTAGCATTTGATACCAGGTTTGTGTAAAAAAATATTATTGACATATTAAAATTATGAAACTGCTGAATACAGGTACCAACTATAAGTACATTACAATGCATGGCAGTTATTCGTTACATTATAACCCATAATTGCATAAATGGAGCTGTGCACACAAGCGCAGGCACCCTTGGCTTGCACGGAACCATCCCCTCTGGGGCCCCCACTGGTCCGCAAAGCCAGAAAGGTTGGAGACCCCTGATCTGATGTACTTGCAACATTTCATGCCCACCTATTTTCCTTGATAGCTGGAGTCTGTCAATGTTGTTGCAAGAATGTCATTATTTTTTTGGTCTTCCTATCCAAAGGCTTTTAGTTCTGCTTCAATCCATTCCACTATTCTAACTGTGTATCAAATGACTAGAATTGCCCAGATGTTGATTGCCTTGATGGTATTTAATCCACTGAGTTTAGACTTTTAAAATCTTCTTCACTTATTAATTAATTAATTAACTCTTCACTTTCTTGATGCATTCAATCCTAACCTTTTTCTTGATTTTAGCATACTTGATGTTGTCTGCTTGAAGAATACCCAGGTATTTGAGTGATCAACTTCATTTAAACTCTTGATGTTATTTCCATATGGTATATCTTGATTCCTTCAGTTTTCACTATTTTTTCCATTTGATGGTGGCACATTTCTGCAGTCCAAACTTCATTGCAATATTTTGGCTGTATATATGGACAGTGTTGAGCAGAGATTCTATTTCAGATGGTGATTTTTCCATATAGCTTCAGATCATCCATAAATGATATGAGGTAAAGTAAATGTAAAGGAGGTAGGTTCTAGCAATGTTTTTGATGTTTGATAGCCATGGCCTGAGTTATTCAGTATTGTTGACAGAGAAATCAGTGAAATGATAAACAGTAGTGGTGATAGTGAGTCTCTTTGAAATATTCCTCTATCGATATTAACTTCTCCCAATCTCTCACCATTGACCTGCAACTATGTCTCCTATTGTGCCAGCGATTTTTTCACAAAGCTTCTATTGTTTCTACTGACTCCTGTTATTTCTAGGCACTTGATTATCCAGTCATGTGGCAGGGAGTCGAATGCCTCTCTGTAATCAGTCCATGCTACATTCAAGTTGGTCTTCCTTCTCTTGCAGTTTTTTTTTTAATTGAAAATTTTTAAGTTTTACAGAACAATTCCCTTCCCCGAACCCTCCCAACCCTCCCCCAACCTTCCCAGAGCTGAATACAGGCTTAATTAAATTTTTTAAAAAAGATCCTAAAACACATATAAACCATAAGCAAATCTAAATACATTAATTAAACAAATTATAAAATAGTTAATAATATATATATATATATATATGAAAAGAAAAAAATACGAGAAGGAAAGAAAAAAGAAACAGAAAAAGAAGAAATCAGATAAAAATAAAAGGAAAATTAAAAAAAAGAAAAAAAATGTCTATAAAATATCTTAAATTTTAAATATAAATTATTCAAAAACTAAATATTTTTTATATCCAACTTATATTGTATGAAATCTATCCATTTTTTCCATACCAAAAAATACTTCTCTTGCGATTGATCTTTCAAGAAAGCCGAAATCTTTGCCATTTCCGCCAAATAAGAAACTTTAAGAAACCACTCTTGCAAGGTAGGCAAAGATTCCTTCTTCCAACATTGCCCTACTAACAACCTAGCCGCTGTAATTAAATTTAACATCAATATAGTCTCTTTACTATCACAATGAGAAACGATACCTAACAAAAACAATTGTGGGGTAAATTTTACCCTTCTTCTAAAAATTCTTTGAATATTCCACCATATCTTAATCCCAAAAACTTTTATATTTTTACATGACCACCAGATATGATAATAAGTAGCATCCAAACATCCACATCTCCAACATTTAGGCTGCAAGTCAGGATACATACGAGACATTTTTTGTGGATCAAGGTGCCATCTATAAAACATTTTGTAAAAATTTTCCCTTAAATTTTGGGCTTGTGTAAATTTAACATTCCTCACCCAAATAATTTCCCAAGTATCTAATAGAACCGGTTCATCAAAATTTTGTGCCCATTTAACCATACATTCTTTAACTAATTCTGCTTCTGAATCCAGTTCTACTAACACCCCATAAATTCTCTTAATATGAGTTCGTCTTTGATCTTTTATTTGTTTTAACAAATTCTCATCTTCTCTAAGCAAACCCACATTACGATCTATCTTCCACCTCTCCACTATTTGTCTATAATGAAACCATGAATAAATAATATTTTCTTGTGTTAAATCTTCCAGAGATTTTAATTGCCAGTTTTTACCATCCCATCTAAGTAATTGTGCATAAGAAACGCTATCCATCTTGACTCCTCTCCTTATCCCTTCTATCGCATGCCACGGTATGGCCCATAGTGGAATTTTAAAATCACTTCTATAATATTTCTTCCAAACCCGAAGTAAAGAAATCCTTATAATATGAGATTTAAAAACCCTATCAACCTTTTTATTAAAAATTAAATAGGCATGCCATCCAAAAAGTAAATCCCAACCCTCCAAGAGGAGTATTTCTACATTTGTTAAATTAACCCAATCACTAATTAATGTTAAAACCACAGCATCATAATACAATTTCAAATTCGGTACCTTGAGTCCACCTCTCTCACGAATATTTTGTATAATTTTAAGTTTTACTCTTGGTTTTTTCCCTGCCCAAATAAATTTATTGATACCTTTCTGCCATTCATTTAAATTAACCTCATTCTTTAAAATGGGTATCATTTGAAATAAAAAAAGAAACTTTGGCAGAACAGTTTTTCAAAATCATCTTGTCAATTAGGAGTTAATCTTTTGTTTCTCTGCTGTTTGGGCAGAGTATAATCTGATACCAGATTCTCCCTTCTGCTCAGATGGAAAGTTTGTTTTCAAGATGCTACCGGACTGCATCATCTATCACAGGGCTTGTCAACCGGTGGCACGCATACCACTTGTAGTACGTGACCACCTGGCTGGTGGTACGCAACATCGCCTTCCTCCCCTCCCACGGCATTACCTTCCTCCCCCCGTTCCGCTCCTTCCCACCTCACTTGTTTGTGGAAAATATGCTGCTTGGCGGCAGCCTGCATGAACTTTACCAAATGTGCCCTGCAGGAGGCGCATGAAGAGCACAGGCGCAGAGCAAGGCCCCGCCCTCCCCAGGGACTCAGTGTGCAGGAACTGGTTTGACTTCTTGTGCATTCAGATCAGCTAAGGGGAGGCTGCCGCAGTGCCGAACTCCTGCGCCCGTCAGCTGGCGACCCCCAAACTTGCGCTTGTCAGCTGGGAGGTATGGTGCTGGCCGCTGGTCTCCTTTGCCACCCCGCACATCATCCTCAACCCCTCCCCCAACCCATTCATATCAAGCCTGCTGGGGCTTGACAGGGAGAGAGGGAGGAAGAGGAAGGGACTCCGACTCCTCTCCTAAGGTTCAAAGTATGATCAGCTTCCCAAGGGCGCCACAATCCCAAGTCATGTGTTTCTGCTGCCGGGAATGGGGCAGGCGGAAGAAAGCTTGGCTAGGCTAGGCAAAGAAAAGCCACCGAGTCGCGAGCTCAGATCGCAGGCAGGCCGGGGAAAGGGGTGAAGGAGAAGAAGGGGATTGGGAGAGAGGAAACGGCAAGCTTGTCCTCGCCTCTCCCAAGAACTTCCTGCGCCACCTCACAGGAACACCTGGCTTCAGATTTACGCTGCAAAAGTTTTTCTCGCGCAGAGGAGAGAGGAAAAACAATTGCGGAACACTCGGGTATCCCTTGCAAGGCACCATATACCTTGGTACTTATTTCCTAATGCCTTCCCCCCATGTTTTCTGCTCCACCTCGAATTCTCCTCCCTTCCATTCTCCTTACACATCCATCTATGGTCTTAATACAACCCTAAGTCTGTCTCACTTTCAACACCCCCTAAAATTCTTCATTTAGGCAGGCTTCCAGAATTTGGCTGGCAGGATGCAGGTAACCCCTCCCCCCTGTCCTGCCGTCTCCTACAGCACCGCGCCATTCCACGTCCTGCACCTCCGTGTCTCAAGCCTCCGTGGCACAGAACTTCTGGCGTTATGCTTGGGCGAAGACTTTTTCTTTTACAGATGGGGCGGGTGGGCCTGACATTCGCTAGCAGGCAGGACCCCGCCCACTGAGCTGCCACATCTCCATCGCCCTCCACACAGCCGGCTCCATCGCCAGACCTCTCAGCTGACAAGCGTAGGAGTTTCGCCACCAGCCCAGCTCACCCATCAGCCCAGTTACCTGCTCCTGTGATGCGGCTGCTGCCCCAGTGCTGCTGCCGTTGATCTCCCGTTGGGAACCGCTGTCGCGATGCGCCTGCCAAAGATGACATCATTAAGCTGCATCTAGCTGTGATGACGTGATCAAGGCGCGCCGGGCAGCAAGGAAGGACCTCAGAGGATGCCTTGCCAGGCCGGGAAGCAGGGAAGGACCCCATAGAACACCTCGCTGGGCCAACACACAGCTGGGTGCTGCCGGCAGGGTCCATGTGGTTCGGGCGAGTCAGCAGGGCCGCGAGGAGATGGTGGGCCGCAGCGGGCAACGGGCATCGTTTAAGCGGTAGTTGGGGGCTCTGGGGAATAGGGCCAGGATGGACACACAGGTGGGTAAGGCTGGTGCATGGGGATTGGATAGAAGCTGGGGCGGTAGGGTGGGGCCAGGTATGGGTGGGGCGGCGTTCGGGTGGGGCACGTGTATGATATATTAGACGCTGGGAGCAAGTCACTTCCAGAGCTAACTTTATTTCCAGCATCACAATAAAGTTGTTGGTAGTCACACGTTCCTGTTTTCTGGCTTGCTTGCTGCGAAGCTCAAAGAGGACAGGTTGACAGCACTGCACAAGTCTGAGCGAGAGATGGCTAGAGCTGCAGGGCTGTCAGGGCTAGGTGGAAGCACCAGGATCAGTGCCAGGCTCCAGCTGGAGCTTGGCGCTGATTCTGGCACTTCTGCTGAACCCGAAGAAGCGCCAATCAGCTGGAATGTTGCAGCGTCTCCAGGGTCTTGAGATTTACATTCAGATGCTTAGCAACTGATTCATATTTATGACGGTCACAGTGTCCCAGAGTCATGTGAAGTGACCAAAACTGCTGCAACCACCCAGCAGACAGGGGGAATAAAAACCAAACACCCCCCACCCCACCCCCACTGCCAGTCTTCAACATAAATGCTCATAACAATGAAAACCTCAGACATAAGGAAGAGCGCTGCTAGTTGGGCAGGCAGGTGTCTTGCTCAGCTGTGGCTTGGGGGGCACTTTTTTCAGTGCCATTGTAACTTCAAACAGTCACTAAGCAAACTGTTGTAAGTCGAGGACTACCTGTACTTCATCACTTTTTTCCTTTTTTTTTTTGGGTCATCAAGTTTTTGACACTTTGCTAGGCGACTGGTGGTACTCGGATGTTGCCATATCCTAAAAGTGGTACAATGGGTGAAAAGATTGAAAAGCCCTGTCCTAAACAACTGATTGAATAGGTACTAGTTCAAACTACAGTCTCTTATCCAATTCCCACAAGAACACTTAGCCTTGGCATAGGATTCACAGAAGAGGCAGTATGATAAAAACGTCTGGCAATATAAGGGTTACTGTTATGATGAGGCACCAAATGTAAAGTGCAATGACAAGTTACCTCCTCCACTGTGAAACAAACCCATCATTGGAAAATGATCAAATTGAGCTGCGTAATGAAAAATGTGAGCTTTACCATGCTAACTGCTTGAGAAAAGAGCAAGTTCTCCTGAATAAGGATAATCAAGTTTTCAAGGATTTGAAGGATTAGCCAGGACGAAGAATTAGAGAGGGAGGATTAAACCAGGGGTCCCCAACACCTGGGTTGTGATCCACTATCAGGCCATGGCCTATTTGCAACCGGGGAGCGCAAGCAGCAGACTGGTGCAGACATGCAGCTCAAGTTGTGTGAGCGGTGGGCTGATGCATGGGCACATATGCAAACAGCTCAACTTGCACAAGTTGAGCTGCACGTGCATGCCAATCAACTTGCATGCATGCGTGCTCACCCGCCACTCATGTGGCCTGGTTGTCCCCTCTGCCAGGCTGCTAAGTCAAAAAGCTTGGGGATTGCTTGATTAGATGGTACTTATAATCAAGAAGTACGGCTCAACCGAGAACTATCTCCATTACAAAAAGAAAAACTAAACTGATCCAGATCTTATAAACTACATTTATCAATGTCTCTGGAACCATCACATTATTTGAATATGGGCATGCTTCAGGTACCAACTTCTAGACAGTGTTGGCTATCAGGATCCAGAAAGAAAACCTTTTCTCTTTTGGCATCCATCCTTCATTCCCCGAGATTAGACATGGCTTTGTGCTCAAACCTGGGGCCTTGGTCATTTTATGAATGATAGGTTACATCATGTTTGGCTACTATATGTTTTTATTTTTGTTTTATTTTACATATTATGTATTATTTCTTTCATTGTAAACCACAAAGAATTGTGTAAAAGTGAGATGGGGGCCATATAAATTTATTTAAATAAATAAATATATGTCAATGACATGAGGGGATGCCAAATAATAAGACATAGACCAGTGATGGCGAACCTTTTAGAGACCGAGTGCCCAAAACTGCCCCCCCCCCGCCCTGCCGTCATACCGCCCTGCCTAAGGGCCACCCACCAACTCCACGGCCCACTGCAGATCACCCAGGCAGCCCTGCAGCTCCATGGCTACCACACCCTCTGCCCGCTCCCTACATCATCTGTGTGTGACGGGGCGTGAAGACGGAGTCTTGTGTCTGCTGCCCAGCTGCCATGAGCTTGGCTGCGCTGTTCCATGTGGGCCATGCCTGGGAGCAACTCTCCTCCAAGGGGACTGTTGGTGAGGAGGAGGCCGCTGGGGGAGGCGGGGCTGGGGCGACGATGTGCTTACCCACAGAGAGGGCTCCAAGTGCTGCCTCTGGCACACATGCCATAGGTTCACCACCACTGACATAGACCATATTTATTTCAAAAGGGTCCCAGAATACATTGGAAAAAGAGGTGGTAAAATGTTGAAATTGGAAATGTCTACAGGTACTCTTGACTTAGTCATGATGATATCTTACTCCCGGTGATAGATAATCTCACCTAGGAGCATCAGGTAGATACTAAATAGGAGTGAAGAAAGCACTGATTCCTCAAAGCAGGGGCCACAAGTTAGATCTTTTGCTCCCAATTAATCTTTTGTTCCCAATATCAACTGAAAACAGCTTTGCAGGAAGGAAGTGAACTAGGACAACACAATGTTCCCCAGTCCTAAGCCCCAGAGTCATTCCAGAATGCAATGGTTGATGGTATTGAAAGCTGTAGAGAGGTCAAGTAGAGCAAGGACTTGCTACCCTCTTACTCTAACCACTACCTCCATATAGCTCCTGTCAGAGATCCCAAAACATGACCAAATGCTATTTCTATCCTTTATCCAGGCCTGAAGTCCAACTAAAGAGATCCAAATAATCTGTTTCAATCTGGATCCTCTGGAACTTCAGCACAACTACCTTCTCAACAACCTTCTACAAAAAGAGAAGGTTGGAGACAGGATGAAAATTGTCCATCAGGGTAATATTGAATAACTACTTCTTAAGAAGAGAGTGCATCACAATCTCCTTAACAGACTGGGGCATCACCCTCTCATTCATAGATGCATTAACTACTGCTAGTATCCACCAGCATATCACCCCCTGGGAAACTTTTACCAATCATGTGAGACACAAATCTAACCCACCGATGGGGGAGCTCACATTCCTTAGGATCCTGTCCACTTCCCCATGACAGGGTCAAATTCCCATGGCACGAATTCACATAGACATTGTCTTCATTTCTGCACAAAGAAGATTTCAGGAGTTCCAGTGACCAAAAACATGGAAAGTCCTGCCAGCAGCCTATCATCCTCCACACCAAAAGGTCCAGCTGTCACCCTTGGGGCAGACCAGGAAAACTCATGTTTTCTGCAACTTCCATCACCATCACACAGCCAGCACCAACTTAATAGAGGCAACCACATCACAAAATCACACCTGAGTTCCTGAAACACACCATACATAAAAACTGCCATTTTGTCCCCAAATTAGGGAAACATTTCCACATGTGGAGTTTCTTTATATTTCTGTATGCCCCTTTTTTACAATGTTAATGCATTATCAACTTAGGAAAGGCAAACATTATAAACTGAAATAAAGAACCTCTGACATACTAAAAGCATTATTTTTAAAAAAAAATTACAGGGAATTGTAAATAAGCATTATTAAATTACCCAGTGACTTTATGAATATTTGCCCTTCAGACTGAGGATAATTTAGTTCACAACTATCATGCACAAAAAGAATGGTAGGATACTTACCATTCCATATTCTTGCATGAGCATACCATATAGTTGCCAACATTTGTCTTGCACCATCCCAGAAATCATTCGAGTGACCTTCTTTTATGTCTGTCCTTCTTTTGTAAATATGAACAATGATAGCAGAAATATAAAGGAGGAGGAGAAAAACTAGTGGAAGCAGAAATCCTATGAGTAGTGGCATAAATAGCCATATGAGATAGATGAGGTAATTCAAATATTCTCCCAGGCATTCCACTCCAGTCCATTCTTCTAATACATAAAGCGTGCATGTTAAATAGGATATGAATATCTGTTCTGTACCACAGGATTCATTTTGATGTATCATGTTCTGTTTAAAAAGGAAATAAAACATAAAACATTTTAAAAGTCCAGACCATCATATATTTGTCTTTGAATTGTTAATTTGACTTTTAACTATTACATTGTATCATTAGAGAAAATACAAGAATGCAAATCTACACACGTCACCTAAGAAATGAGTCCAATTAAACTTAATAAAGCTTAATTCCAAATAAATGATAATAGAATTGCAGTCTTATATAGTAAATGAACATGTACTATGGTCATGGCCAAGTGTACCATATGATCTAAGAACAACAAATTTGAGATCCTGACATACTTGCTTAGCTTGAAAATCTTGATTCTAACTTCATGTATTACTAAACAGCAATACAAGTTTTGTAATATTATGCAAAGCTTTCGTGTGATCCCTTATTTAATGCTGTACTCTAGTATCACTCTTCCATTATACTATATCAAAAAGAAGTAACTTCAAGTAATGAAACCTCTAACATCCAAGAATATATAAAAAAAATCAACTCAACATCCCTACAAGATACCCTTTTTTTAAAATATGCATGTTTAGACACAATAGTCCAATTCATGCAAGGCAGAGTTATTGAACACTCAAAAGGGGGGTGAATTGGTGGTATGTTCTTGAAATGACCTCCTATCTCTTCTTGCAATTTTCTCAATCTATAAGAGTTTGAAAAGGTTGCCTCTTTACAGCAAAACCAGAGAATCCTGTGGCACCTTAAAAAGATTTTCAAATTATTACCACATAAATTTTTTGGGCTACAAATCTATTAGAAGCAACATCCATCAAGAAGCTGATTATGTAGACATAATAAATTTATCCACGACTGGCAAGTTTTGAACAGGGGAAGCATTGACACCTGTCAGAAATGATATGACACATGCATTAAATAATCTAGGTTTAGGTAGCCACTGGGAATTAAGATACACACTATTCTTTGATGATTTTCCTCCACCTGGGATTACTGGCTTATCATGCTTATTGGGAAGAATTAACGTTGCAACTTATCCGGAGGGTAACAGATTGGGAAAGCTGTCTGTTGGATATGCTTAATTTCAAGAAAGATTATCAGATGTAGCTTCTCATCCGCTCTTCAAAAACCTCTGGCTGGTACCGATTCTTCTCCAGGGCCACCTATCCTGTAAATGAGTAGATTAACATTTTAATATGAGAAAGAGAAGGAGATTCTGTTCTTTTTCGTTTCATCCTACCAAAACCCTACCCAAATAAGGCCTGCAAAGCTTTGAATACGATCGTTTCTTCACTTCGACACCCGCAGTATTCCTCTCGCAGTGGCAGAGGAAGAATACCTCCGGACTCTCGCTTTTACAATGAATTCCTTTGGGTGCCTTCAAGAAGCAGAACCGTCTCCCTTCAGGTTATACCGGCAGGATTTTCTTCCGACTGGGAGGAGCCATGGAGAAGAACTTCAGGACAGACTGACAAGGAAGTGTCCTGCGTTCCGCGGGAATCAAGAAAAGGTTTTTTGCTACAAAGGATGCAACGAGGCCGGTCAACCGAAAGGGACCCCAATGCCAGTGCTGTCCACCTCACGGCCGGAATTAACTAACCCGGGTCAGCCCAGCCAGGAAGAGCGGCCCGTCCGCCCTCTTTCTAACGCAGGAAACGCTTCGCCGTCCGAAAGATCCCAGCTTTTATTCTGCATTTCCTTTCCACGCCCAGAAAGGGCGGTATTGGGAGCGGGAGCATCTACCCTAACAGGCAGCTAGCAACCCGAGAAGCGGAGCCCTCCGAGACGCATGCCCGGGGCAACTGCTGAGGCTCCTTTGAAGCAAAGAAAGGGGAGCCCATTCCAGCCTCCTACCATGTGGCGCTTCAGGAGGACCGGCGCGCACGCGCCTCGGAGTTGCGAGATGCAGCACTGCCGCCGTAAGTAGACGCGTAAAGAGATCCACCGTCTTTAATACAGAAGGGGGCGGGGGAGGCGGTCGGAGTGAAACCAGCCTTAAGTGGGAGCTAATTAAGTGAACGAATAACCCCGATATCTCGCCTTTCCCCCACAAGCCCCAGACAGCATACCACTTTTCCCCATTCCAGTTGTATCCTTCTAAAAAGTTGTTGGCGCCACCCTGTTGGTCCACAGAGGAAATGGAAACGTGACAAACCGTGTTGCCGGAAATCGCCAATACTCGAATTCAGTGTTTTGCCTGGTCTACAATCAGGCTATGTGTTCACAAGACCCTGAATCAGAAAGCAAGCGTCCTCTTTCAGCGAGTACAGTTGTGCGATCGGAACCAGTGAATTATAATTCCATACGAATCGTCTCGTCACTCTAATTTCTGTCTCTATCAAGCTCGAGGTCCCTGTACGCTGCTGAAAGTAAGGCAAGACTTTGGCGCATGCTCGTTTTGTTCTGTGGCACTTCCTGTTTTTCATTTGCTCGACGCTTTCGTGCGTCGGGGCGTGAGTACATATAGACCTCAGAGAATTTTGGATGCCTGCTGTAAACGATTTTGTATATCATTACTCTATTACTCAGTCTGTAACAGTTCCAAGGGGAGACATATTACCCTTTTGCAGCAAAAATGCAAAATGTTTATGACCTTTAAGTAATAATTGGAGAGAGTCTGTTTTATCTGTTTTTATATTTCAAGTTTACTTTCTACTGCACAATCTTTTTTATGCATGTATTTCAGATTAAAATGTCTTCTGTTGTTGTTTCTGGACAAGGATACAAAGACCTTTACTTGAATTAGCAAAACTATTATAATTCAGAAGAAGCAGATGAGCTTAAAATCTTTTGACTCCTCTACATTTTAAATTGCTATGGCAAAAAGATGTCTGTATAACTTTGACTAGAAGACCATCACCCCCCCCCCCTTTTCTGGTTCGATTTCAGAGAGGCACTGCTGAGCGTGTGTGACTGCTTAATGGAGGTCTATAGCAAAATATAGTAAGTTTAGAAGTATAAGCTGTTCTTAATGGTCACTTGAGATGCTTCAGGAATGTCTCCCTCATCCTCATTTCTTTAACCAACCATGGATTGCAGAAACAGAAGGGAAGATATTGGTATAATCTGTATCAAAAGACCTGCTTGCCCCTGCTTTATCACATAGATTTTCTGTACATATCCAAACATCTACTAGTAGACCTGTGATGTGTTCTGAATGGCCATGCAACTTTGATGCAGGTGTGTTGAAACTGCAAGGGGAGTTAGGCAAAGAGACACCAACCCATGCTCAGAGTTTTGACCTACAGCCAAACAAAGAGAGTAATATGGAGAAAATAAAATTCCAGGTAAAATTTTCTTCAAACTGTACTTTTGGGGGAAAGGATGAGAAAACCCATTTCCCCTTTTTCCTGATTTCTTGCCTTCCATTGTTTCTTTTCCAAGGAACTGGAAGTAAGCATTTCCAGAGTGGAATGTAAAATAATGTCTCCGCCTTCATAAAATAGGGATATTTCTTTAATTGAAACATTAAAATAGTCCTTGAATTTAGCTTTCCACATAGTGGCTGCTATCACCATATACTTCTACCAACAATGAACAAGCTCTAAAAGCCTTTGCCTCACTTTGCCTCTTAACTGAAATTCTGACAGTCTTCATTTGACTTAAACAAAATATCTCACAAAAATATGTCTTCAATTTTGGGAAAAGATAGAGGTTTTATGTTGACAAGTCTGGACAGTGGCAGATGGAATTGAATGGTGAGATCCAATGTTGTGACTGCCTCTTGGATGGTTCATGAGGTGCAAACATATTTCCTTCTTGTGCTATCAGACTTTTCTTAATCACTTTTAAAAAGTTTTGCTCTGAATTGATAGTAGTGCTATATTCAAGGAAATTTGTGTAACACCGTCTGTATCCCCAAATACCTCTCATTACAAATTTTCCCATCAAAGCCTGGGTTCATGTTATTTAGGCTTTCCTTCTAGGTGAAGCTTTGTGATGATATTCCATGAATCATTTTTTGGTTCTGAGTCATAATGAAAACCCCTTGTTTATTGGCTGTCATGATGCTATAAAGAAATTTTTCACCTTCATTGTCATGGTGTTTCAATTGCCAGCAAGACTCAAGTTTTGAAGCTTTCATCTCTACCAATTCAAACATTTAATGTAATTTGTATAAAATTAATGGGGCTTGACTTTGGTATAAAAAATATAAATATGCATAAATATATTTTTTCAAAAAAACCATTGAAATGTGTCTATAAATCTACTGCTTATCTTTGAACCTCAAACTGGAGAGGAGTATTTACATCTTTCTCTGTGTTTGGAAATGTGTTGCTTAACATTAAACTCTACCCTTTAGTTTTACTTGATGAAAGATCAAAGGAGTGTGGCTCCCTGAGCTGGAAATGAATACCTGATGACAGACTGTTTAAAGAGGAAGTTCCTTTTCATTTTCAAAAGCCTAGCACAGAAGTCAACTCCTGAAAGATAGTCTACAAAATGTCACCAAGGGCCTAAATTATAGGTAAAAGGTGTGTACTCATGTGTATATGCAAAGGTTTGTGGAAGAGGTGTGTGTGCATGTTTGTGTTATTCTAACGGTCTGGCAGTTCATCAATGTTCATTTGTTAGTATTTGTTTACTAAAAATGAACTAAGAATATTAATTCTTCCCTTTATGGATTTGGGCTATTGAATATTAGTTTTTGTATGCTCATGGAATTAAATCTTTTTGAGATTTTCTTTTGTTAATCCCTTGATTTGATTGCATTGCATCTAGAAATGCTTAGATGTGCAACACAGTATTTGTTTGCAGTAGTGATGAATATAACTCGGGTGTAAGATGAGGGTGAAGTTTCGGCCTCCAAACTTCTGGGTTGATTTCTGAATGTTTCATTACCAGAGCAGGAACAAACTGCTGAAGATGTTACCTAGCCTGGTAATGAAATGTTCAAAAACCAAACCACAAGCTCGGAGAACAAACCATCCTCACAGTATTTGTTCCCAATGTTACCGGCAGATCAATTGGAAAAATTATAGGTAATCCTTGGTTAATGCCTGGTTGCTTAATGATCATTTGAAGTTATGATGCCTCCAAAAGATTATTTTGTGGCCTCTTCTGACCATTGTAAAATGTCACACGAAAGCCCCACAGTCATGTGACTATATTTCAGGTATAGGCAACTCATTCAATTTACAACCAGTTTCAGTATTCCATAGTCATGTGCCCTGATTTGCAACATTTTTTTGCTGTTTTCTGTTAGTAATGCCTAGTGCATATACCGGATTTACTTAAGGACTACAATGCTTAACAACCACAGGGGCTCACTTTACAGCCATCATTAAAATGGTTGTGAAATTGAGTCCAGTCATCTAGTTGATTATTTTGATGACTATCCTGACTTACTACCAAAATTCTATCTGTGGTCATATCAAGGATTACCCTGTATAGGGGCACAGTATATATTCCAAAGGAGTTCCATTTAGAAAAGAAGCCACTGGAACTTTATGTTTTAGATAGAATATTTGAGTTTATTCATAAATATAAAGATCAAAAACATGACTAAAGAATAAGTCCAATTACTAACATTGGATCTCCAAAGAAACATCAATAAATACATTCTCTTACAAACCCAACTTCAGTTTTCAGTGAAACTAGCTTGAGAACATTTGTTTTCACACAATTATCTTTTATTTATTTTAGCTTTTTTATTCATTAGCCAAAATATCTGCTTAAGTCCAATCTTAAGACTATTTGCACAACCCTCTACATCAGAGCTATACAAGTTGTAGATGGAAAAGGGCCATATTAATAAATTAAAAATATTAGCTGTCTGCAGAGAAATAGCTGGTATGTCAATTACAGGTAGCCCTCGCCTTACGACCACAATTGAGCCCAAAACTTTTGTTGCTAAGTGAAACATTAGGCAAATTTTACCCCATTTTACAACCTTTTTTGTCACAGTTGTTAAGTGAATCACTTCAGTAGTCAAATTAGTAACACAGTTGTTAAGTGAATCTGGTTTTCCCATTGACTTTGCTTGTCAGAAGGTCGCAAAAGGCAATCACATGACCCTGAATTTTGATCATGTGACCCTGGGGATGCTACCATAGTGGTAAGTGTGAAAAACAGTCATAAATTACTTTTTTTCAATGCCGTTGAAAATTTGAATGGTCACTAAGTGAACTGTAGTAAGTCGAGGACTTCCTGTAATTTTCCGGTGACTGGTGAGCAGCAACAGAGCTGGCATCATTGGTGAGGCCTGGAGCTGTTGGAGACATTCAGCAGTGTTTCTTTGTGGCAATAGTGGCAGATCCTTCCTGGTGGTGGTAAAATTATTATTTTTATTATTAAAAAAATAGGACTGATGGGCTGCATGCAGGCCATTATCTTGTACCAGCCTGCTCTACATGCTTATCCAGACAGACCATCAGTTTGAATAGGGTTGATACAAACAACATTTTCTAAAATTTTCTTCCACTCAGAATATAGCACCATAAAACTTTACTTTGTTAAAAAATGTCTGGTGAAATATTGCTTCAAGATAGCCTACAAAGATTGCCTGCTTTCCAAAAACCCTATAGTGAAATTATTTACCATTAAATATATATTGACAGGTTGACTCCAATATATATTGCAGTGAAGCACAACACAAATGGCATCTTATTCAATATAATTTTAATATTTTTTTAAAAAATATATTTCTTGGATTTATATAGCTGCCTATCTTACATTAGCAGTTCTGGATGACTTACACAATTTAAAAACAATAGAGTAACGAAATGTACAGTATAAACAGCAGCCAAGAAATCAAACCAGTCTAAAAAATATTGATTAGTGTGATTCAAATCTAATGAAATGGTTGCATTATTCAAATTCATATATTTAATAAAATCACAGAGTAATTATAGAAAGCAAAGAAACACAAAATATCCCCTAAATTCAGGCATTCTACTTATCCTAATTTAGCATTGCTATGATTATGTTTATGTCATTCATTTATAGCAAATATTTGTTCTAATTACACTCACACTTTTTTTCTTTGACAGAATCTGCCTTTTATCCATTTTGCACACATAAAGATGAGCTGTGTCTAAAATCTCCACCATGATTGCATATATGTAGTGTTGCATTAAATGAATTTTGGATCTCCTTATAGGCAACTTCTTCTCAAATTGTAACTCATACTAAGTCTAGTATTGCATCATTCACTAATCATGACCTACCTGTAATTACTTCAAAGTTTCTAAGAAACATTTCAATCCTGAAACATCTTATGAAAAGCTACTCGTTCTTTTTTCATGCAAATGAAAAATTGCATAATACTTTATCCTTTCTTTGCCAGAAAAAGTATAATACTAAATTAGATATTAACATACATTAGAAATTTTGATATCCTGTATGATTCTGAAACTCATAATTAGCAGTAGGCTGCCCATTTGGCCTTATCATTACATTTAACCAATTTATTCTTTTTTCTTTTCTTTGTGAAATCTTTCCAAAAAAGCCCGACAGATGCTTCCAGGACTTTGCTGGTGTTTTCTAATTAATGAATGGAGTGCAATTTTGGTCTGAAAATGAAAGTAAAGGAAAAGGAAAAAATAATAAAACATTTCATTATCACAATTATGTTGGTAATAAGCATTCACTAGAAGAATAAATTATATATTTATGAAAGCTACATCCTGGGACTCTCAAATCCAAGTAACATCTTGGATTTGTTCTGTGTCCCCAAAAGGTTTGGAACAAAGGGAGGCATTATATAAAAATATAGCTGCTGTTTAACATTTTATTCTCAGAAAAGTATACAGGCTAGGAATATCTTGAGAAATGATGTGTGCTCCCTCCGATTCCCCCATCTAGACTATAAGGTCTATCAGATTACTGCTCTTCTTTTTTATTTTTTTTTAAATAAAGCTCTTCTATTCTACCACCATTACTATATTAGACCAACACAGTAGAGTCCTTCAAGTTTTGGGGTTCTACAATCTCCCAGGATTTGAAACAGACACCTAACATCAGAGCCATCATTAAAAAGGAGCAACAAAGAAACAAACTTTCTGTGTCAACTCAGAAAGTTCAGGCTGCCCCAGGAGATTTTGATATAACTCTACAGAGGAATTATTGAATCTGTCGTTTGTTCTTCTATAAGTGTCTGGTTTGGTATAGCAATCAAACAGGACAGGTACAAACTCCAATGGATAGTTAAGACTGCAGAAAAAACAACTGCAACCAGCCTGCCTTCCACTGAAGACCTGTATATTGCACAGGTCAAATGGAGGGCTAAAAATATATCTATAGACCCTTCACATCCTAAACCTAAACAGTTTCATCTCCTCTCCTTGGGAATGAACTATAGGGCAGGCATGTCAAACTCGCGACGTAGCGCAATGTATCAGAGCTTTTTCTCCATTGCCAGCAATGGGTGGCCGTGGTTTTGGGATGAGGCATCCGGCCCGTGGGCCGGCAGTTTAACACCCCTGCTAATTGCATGCCAAAACAACTAGACACAGGGACAGTTTTTTTCCCCTTGTGCCATTAATTTGCTAATTCTCAACAATCCTGTCTAATGTCTATATGTATTTATCCATGGAGTATGGCCATATTATTATTTATCTTTCTTATTACCCTCTTTATTCTCCCCTCTTATTGGTACTATAATGTTGAGGATGATTCTGTTGCTTTGCATGTACACTGAGAGCTTCTGCACTGGAAACAAATTCTTTGTGTATATAATCACACTTGACCAAATAAAGTATTCAGTTCAAATTAATAAAACGAAAAAATAAGCTGTCAGTCGCCCCACTGAGTTAGACACCAAAAGAAACTCCTGGGATATTTTTTTACCAAGAGTATAACTTTACTGAATATTCCATATGAAAAGCCAGTTCTAATGATTTTGCGTGCACACAGCATAGGAACACTTTCCCTTTCCCCTCTGGCCTTTGGCCATTGTCCACTGATCATTTGTACTTACTTTGTTTTGGGAATGGTCTCTCTGCCTCAGACAGTTCCCAGCCAGTGACCTTAGGGTGTTGGGTCTGTCTCAGGCTTCCAGTCAGCACACTTGCATTCCAAGTTTCCCTCCCAGGCCTCCCTTGCATTCCAATGCCTCCCCCTCCTCCCATTACTGTTGAAACAAACTATAGAAATTGAAAAAATAATAAATAAAATAAAATAATAAATAAAATAAAGGTTTAGAAGCCACAATAGCTAGAATTTACCAATCCATTCAAATGATATACAAAATATTTTGGCTGGTTTTATTTGAAGCTATCTGTTTGTAAGCACCCACCGTTTTAAGGCTAATGTCACTAGATGTAATTTCCAGGTTACAGATTAGTAATACAGGAGAATGGTCATTTCTAGATTTTACTTGCACTGTTTTGAAAATACAAAAAGAAAATACTTTTCCAGGAGTAATTTGAATTATATTAGTCTTATAAAAAGCTGTGAGACATTAAATCAGTGTAATACATTAAAATATAAATATTTTTGAAATTTTTTGACAATTAAACAGGAATTGAAGATGTTTAAACTGATAAACAAATCATACCTTGGAAGCCAATTCCTCAACAGTTACATTTGGATTATACAGAATGGGTTCTCCAATGTAAGTACGAAATTTAACTGGAAATCCACCATACACTGGAAGGAAAGGGATTCGACTATATTCATATAGCCTCCTAGCTAAAGCTGCTGTAAAAGAAAAAAATAAATAAAACCAAAACATAATTTGAATCTGTTTAATATCTAAAGCACATGTTATTGGAATCACTCTATAGAACTATAGTTGCTCTTCAGCTGCAATATAGCCCACAGCTATTCATTTAAATAAAAACTACACACCTGCATACATATGTACACACACAAACACACAAACGCAAAAAAAAAAAAAAAATAGTAGGGGATTTTATCATTCCCTAAAAAGAAGAGTTTAACAAACTTCACTGTTTCAGCTGGAAAACAAGGAATCTGTATAGCAGATTAACATGGGAGAAAAAATTGCCTGAATAGACCCTGGGTTGTATGTTGGCTAGTTATTTCACAAATGGAAAGGTTTCATGAAGAACCTTTATGGACATTGTGCTTCAGCAGAAGCTGGGATTCAGCAAAAGATTTTTTTTTTTATTAATTCTTTCTATGTTGTTCAGTTTTGCATGGTTCACAGGCTGCACCAGTCAGAGTAGGGATTTTTTTCCAAAGGAAACAGAACCAAAAAGAAAAGGGGCATAGGGAAGACTGCTTCTCTATCACCTTCCTCAGGCAAAGCTTAATTCACCTGAGTGTAGTGAATTTCTCTTTGTTGCGTTAGCACAGTGGTGGCGAACCTTTGGCACGTGTTCCAGAGGCAGCACTCGGAACCCTCTCTGTGGGCACACACATCGTCACCACAGCCCCACCTCCTCCCACGGCCCCCTCCTCACCAGCAGCCCTCTGGCGGAGAGTCGCCCCTGGGCACGGCCCACGCAATGCTGCGCAGCCAAGGACATGATAGCCGGGCAGCGGAGACAAAACTCCCCCCTTGCACCCCATCGTGCACAGATGATGTTGCAGGGCACAGGCGTGGCCATCATGGCGCTGCTGGGCTGCCTGGGTGATCTGTGTTGGGCCATGGACGTGGTGGGTGGTCCAGCGGGCACGGTGGAGCGGGGACGGGTAGGGGGTGGTTTTGGGGCACTTGGTCTCTAAAAGGTTTGCCATCACTGCATTAGCATATTAGCACGCCTCTATCTTTAGATTCAAAAGACTAAGTATTTTAGCTAAATATTTGATTACACTGGAAATTAAACTAAATTGTAATTATGGAAATACTCTGCAAAGGAAAAAAATCCCACAAACAGAAATGCACATATTTGCTTATTCTAATATTTACTTTTTTCAAAATATGAGAAATTGGTGAGGTATTTAAAGTGCTGTTTTTAAAATAATTAGTATATGCCGGCGTACAAGGCGACCTGGCGTATAAGACGACCCCCGTCTTTATCGCCAGGCCGCATTCCTAGAACGTCATCTTATACGCCGGAAACTACCAGTATTTCCGGCGTATAAGACGACTCAGCATATAAGACGACCCCCGTCTTTGACACCGATTTCAGTGCTCACGGAAGTCGCCTTATATGCCGGCATTTACGGTATATATATGTTTACACATTCAACTTAGAGTTCTGTGAGAAACAGAATCTGACTTTAAGGTAAGATCAGTTTTTGTGACTTGTTTGTGCCTTAAATCATACTTTTTTCTTCAAAGGGACTACAAGAATTATACATTGGCCTAGCATTGAGAATTCTATCTCAAGAATATAATAACCCTTCTCTACTTGCTTTTATTTTATTAATATACTTTATGATGGAAACTGCCAACAGCAATTCTTCTAAGGCAAGGCATGGTAGTCTTTTCAGCTTCTAGATTTTAGTAATTTTAAAATTAAAAATGTAATTTGAAAGATCTACCAATAACATTCTTATGTCTGAGAATGCCCTCCTTTTTTCATCACATCAGATTATCTGCTATCAAAGTGTGATCTTTACACTGAGTCACTGTTAATAAAGAAGCAGAAATTGAAAAAGTTAGGCAAATTAGGACATTTTTTTCAGCAGTAATTTATAATTGAGAAATATCAGTAGATTTGGTTACTAGGAGTAGTATGTACCAATATGATAAGAACCACTGGTCTATCAGTTTAGCCTAATATAGGTTAAAAAAAATACCTGTCTTGACAACGTTAAAACAAAGAATCATGGGTTGAAAGGGACCATGGAGGTCTTCTAGACCAACCTTTGCTCAAGGCAAGAGACCTTATACTATCCTGGTCAAATGGTTGTCCAGTCTATTTTTGAAAACCTTCAGTGATGAAGAACCCACAGCTCCAGAGGGTAAGCTATTCATTAATTAATTGTTTTTTACTGTCAGAAAACCTCTCCTTCTAGGTTTCATCTTTCTTTAACAAGCTTCCATCCATTATTTCCCTTGGGGTGCTTTGGAGAATAAGTCAATCCTCTCTTCTCTGTGATAGCCCCTCAAGTACTAGAAGACTGTTATCATATCCCCCTTAACCCTTTTCTTTGATAAGTTAGATGTACCTACTCCCTCAACTGTTCATCATATCATTTAGCCTCCAGACCCTTTATCATCTTCATTTCTCTTTGCAGAGAGGAAGGAGTCTTTATGAAGTTTCTAGGGTTTTTGAATCTTATTTGTATTTGGCAACCAGATGTGGATGCAGTATTCCTAGTGCAGTATAGAGCATTATTATCATTTCTCTTGATGTTATCTTGATACTATCCTTCTGTTGATGCAGTGTAAGATTGCATTGGCCTTTTTGGAAGCTGAAGCACATTGCTGTTCATAATTTTGTGGTGATCCCCTAGGACACTTAAGATTCCTCTCATAGTTACTATTGTTGTACTATTTTGTACCTTTGCATTTGGTTTTCCCTGCTTAAGTACAGGACCTTACTGTTCTCCTCACTAAACTGCATCTTGCTAGATAAGACCCAATGCTCAAGTCTGTCAAGATAATCTTGAGTCTATCTTCCAAAGTGTTAGCAATTTCCCCCAGCTTGATGTCATCTGCAAATCTGATGAGTTTCCTTTCTATCCCTTCATCCAGGTCATTTATGAAGATACTGAAGAGTACTAGGCCTAAGACAGAACCTTGAACTACTTCAATGCAAATTTCCCTCCATGTAGATGTAGTTCCATTCAGGACTACATACTGGGTGCAATTGATCAGCCAATTGAGAATCCATCTGGTGGGTGGTACTGTCTATCCTGCATTGTTCTATCTTACCAAAAATAGGTTGTGGTTTACTTTGTCAAAAGCCTTAATGAAGCCCAAGTATACTGAGACCATCGCATTTTTCTGGTCCCATAACTTAGTCAAAGAAGACAGTAAGATTTGTCTGGCATATGTTTTCAACAAATCCATGATGGCTTCTAATAATCACCGTATTCGTTTGTAGGTGCTCACAAATCCTTTATTATCTTTTCCTGTATTTCCCCAGGTTTTTCGTATTAAACTGGTTGGCCTATAATTTCCTAGACCTATTTTTTCCCCTTTTTGTAGATTGGAACCATATCAGCTTTTCCAGTCCTCTGTTACTTCCCCTGTGTTACAGGAGCTTTGAAAGATTACAATCAGTGGCTCTGAGATTAAGTCTGCCAGCTCCTTAAGAATTTAGGGAAATGAACCATCTAGATGATTTATACTTGCCCAGGGTGGATTCCTCACTACACTATTTTGACTTGTATACCTATTCTATCTTCCTCGATACTGCTTTTGATAGGTTGGGCTATTTCTTCTTTTTGCATGAAAATAGATGCAAGGAAGAAATTAAGCAGCTTTCTCCCTGCTGCCTGTCACTTTCTTGCCATCTGCTCAATTAGTGGACCAATAGTGTCCTTGACTTTCTTTTTGTTCCTTACATATTGAAAGAAAGGTTTTTTAAATATTATTTTTGGCATTAGTTTCCAGTCTTGGCTCGTTCTGGACCTTATCTTTTTTATCTGACTCCTTGTAGATTCAAGCTATTTGCTGGTATTCTGTTTTGATTATACTCCCCTTATATTCCCCTCTTTCCATTTTTCATATTTGGCTTTTTTGTATGGTATTTCTTGTTTTTCTTTGTAGTATTGTTTTTGCTTGGGACTTCATTATGTCATTTTCCCAGTTGATGTCAGGATAGTTAAAGTTCCCCTGTTATTACAGTGATTTTCTTGCACACCTCAGCTAACTCAGCAGGGTTCTACATTTAGGCAAGAAAAACCAAATGCACAAGTACAGCATAGGTGGCACCATGCTCAATAGTAGTAACTGTGAGAGGGACCTCGGAGTCCTAGTAGACAATCACCTAAATATGAGCCAGCATTGTGCTGCAGCTGCCAAAAAGGCCAACACAGTGCTAGGCTGCATTAACAGAGGGATAGAATCAAGATCACATGAAGTATTAATACCACTCTTCAATGCCTTGGTAAGGCCACACTTGGAATACTGCATCCAGTTTTGGTCACCACGATGTAAAAAAGATGTTGAGACGCTAGAAAGAGTACAGAGAAGAGCAACAAAGATGATTAGGGGACTGGAGGCTAAAACATATAAGGAACGGTTGCTAGAATTGGGTATGTCTAGTTTAACGAAGAGACGGACAAGGGGGGACATGATAGCAGTGTTCCAATATCTCAGGGGCTGCCATAAAGAAGAGGGAATTAAGCTATTCTCCAAAGCACCTGAAGGCAGGACAAGAAGCAATGGGTGGAAACTAATCAAGGAGAGAAGCAACCCAGAACTAAGGAGAAACTTCCTGACAGTTAGAACAATTAATCAGTGGAACAGCTTGCTTCCAGAAGCAGTAAATGCTCCAACACTGGAAATTTTTAAGAAGAGACTGGACAGCCACTTGTCCGAAATGGTGTAGGGTTTCCTGCCCAAGCAGGGGGTTGGACTAGATGACCTCCAAGGTCCCTTCCAACTTTACCACTATTATTATTATTAACTGATTAGCAAAAGTTCATCTATCCCTCTGGTTGGTTGGGTGACCTGTAGAACACACCTACAGTTATTTCTTTTTCCTCTAATATTTACCCAAATATCCAAGAAGGCTTTCATCTGTAGTAATGTGTAGTCATTCCCTACATACATTTTGACACCCTCTCTTCCTACCAAGTTTCATAATAGCTACCTCATATTTGCCCTCATAAACTAGAATTTCATGCTCTCCCTGTTTGTTCCCCATACTTTGGGCACAGGTATTCAGGGCTTTGAGCCCTTTATGGTTGACCCTAGTTTTGCTTCCTTTATCTCCTGATTTGTACTTGTGTGCCCCTTGTTCACCATTCCCTTTCTAGTTATCTGTTTTTCTATGTTGGATTTAGTCCTATAAACTAATATCCTTCCTCCTCCAGTTTTAGTTTAAAAGATGGTCTGAGCCAGTTGTTTCCCAAACACTTACTTGCTGGTCTTTGTGAGATGCAGTCTATCTCTCGTACAGCCCTTCCTGTACATAGTATAATCCATGGTCTAGATCAGGCATGTCAAACTCGCGATGTCACGTGACATCATGCAACATATCGGGACTTTTTCCCCATTGCCAGCAATGGGGTGGGCGCGGTTTCAGTGTGATGCATCTGGCCTGCAGGCCAGCAGTTTGACATGCCTGGTCTAGATGGTACCATTCTTTAGCCAGAAATTTACTTCTACTATGTTCCCTCATTGGATGTTGACCTTTTTGTTGTATGTACAGATGAAAACACAACCTATACTCCTAACTCTTTGACTTTCCTACTTAATTGCTCATAGTCCATTGTAATTGTTTTCAGACTCTTAGCTGTATCATTTGTCCAACATGAATGAGAGAAAGAGATAACAATCTGTGGACTTGATTATTTCTGTGACATTTTTAATCTTTTCACCTGGTAGACAATATACTTCCCTTAAGAAATTGTCTGGTCTACAGACTGTTGACTCTGTTCCTCTGAATATTGAGTCATTGATCACCAACACACACTTTTTTTCTTTGGAAAAGTCTGGGCTACTTTATTTCTTATTACTGGAACCTTACTTCTTATCACTGAAATATTTGGGAAAGACTTTTCTTCAGCTGTCTATGTGTTTCCTGGGGAGGGGAATATGAAATTGACTGTGCAGTTCCAGAGAGGGCTTAGGCTGCCTTCTCAATCCTTTTGTTCTTTACATGACATACTACCATTGCCCTTGCCTTTCCTCTTCATCATCTTTTCTTGGTTTTGTTTGGATAGAGACTTTTGATTTTAACAGTTCATCATGTTCTTCATGTTCACTTTTGAAATTTGCCTGAACAGTGAGCTGAATGGCAAATAAATTTCATAAATAAACAAAGTGTGGGAGTATCAGGAGTTTTAGTGGCTTGACTTGCCTTGAAATTCTTCATCTTTTCTTCAAGTAATCTAACCAATTTATACTTATTGCATGGGTGATTTGAGTTCTCCATAGGTAGAAATACAAACATTGCATACATATTGCATGTAACAATGTTACTAGACTCTTTCCCCATGGCTTTGTTATTATTCATTCAAAAATTTATTCAGGCAAAAAATTATTCTATAGTTTGTTTATAACTCCAGAAGAGACAGACAAATAGTAGTTTTTCTCTTGTGGCACTGTTTATAAACCCTCAAGAAGTAGAAAAGATATAGGACATTTTTTATAAAAAGGGAAAAATTATTATACATATAAAAATAATAAAATGTAAAACATTTTGTAAGATTAATATACTTTTGTGAGATCAATATACTTACAAAGAAAGGACCTAAATATGTCATCATGGACTTTGAAAACTTGGGAAGGCAATTCAAGATGATGGGTGTTCTCACACTATTTTTTCAGTCAGTGAAACAAAAAAATACAAACTAAAGGAACTTTGCAATACTACCAAGGTAGCGTCTATCATGTAAACTCAATCAAAAAGATATATATGATGTTTTCTAAAGCAAACTGAAAATCTCAAAAAGGAGTAAACTAGAAAAGCTAATATACTTTTTTAAAGGGGGGAGAGTAATAGCACAGCTGTGCAAAATTTAAGTAAGTAAAAAACAACAAAAAGCATTTATGAAAGAAAAAAGAACAAGAGTTGGAAAGAGGGACTGATCACAGAAAAATGAAAACAAATAGCTTACAATTTAGACTGGGTATAAGGAAAACTAAAAACAATCAGAATGAGTTGAAATTGTTGCTGTTTATTAAGAATAAAGTGGGCTTATCTAAATATATTCAAAATAAAAAGGGAAAAATTAATATACGAGGTCAGTGGTGGTGAACCTATGGCAAGCGTGCCAGAGGCGGCACTCGGAGACCTCTATGTTGGCATGCGTGCCACCACCAGCAGCAGGTCCATCAGGCCACCACCACCGCCCAGAGCAGGAGCTCTGCCCAGCACAAAGAGGTGAAGCGGCCGACTAGCAAGCTTGAGTAGAGGTGGTAGAGCAGAGGTCACCAACCATTGCCAATTGGCGGACTGGAAGAAAAAGGGAGGGGGAAGTATTTTACATGTGGTGTGCATGCATGGGGCCGCGAGTATGCACGCGCTGCAAATGAGGTGGGGCTAGTGCCTGCATGATACTAGCCCTGCCCCATTCTTGCTTGGTGCAGCATCTTGTATCTGCACCCCGCGGCGCAATGGTGGCCATTTTTGCACCTTGCAGCATAGTGGCCCATTTTTGCGCCTCTAGTTTTTGCATGCCCTCCCCAGGGCACCACAATGCTGATCAGCCCCTGGCACTTTGCGATAAATAAGTGGGTTTTGGGTTGGGGTTTGGGCACTCAGTCTCTAAAAGGTTCGCCATCACTGTACTAGGTCTTCAGTCAAGTTAGAAAAATACTAGCAGAAAAGACTGCTACTGAATAGCTATTTTATTTTCTTCATCTCCAACAAAAGAACATGATCCACAAGGCCATTTAAAAAAACAAAAACAAAATAAGGAGGGTGGGCTGTAGCTTGAAACTCAAAGAAACATGGTCAGGGAATTTATTAGAAATGAATGTAAGTTTCTAGGGTCAAATGAAGTGCATTCTAGATACTAAAGGAGCTTGTCGATAATCTGATCAAGGTAACAATCAAATAAGTTTTCTGCAAGTGGTAACAAGCCTATTAGAAGCTTACCAGCAATGCAGAGATTCAGATGATAGGACATGCGTAGCAGGATAGTGGAGCTAGTAATAAATTTATTTAGTTCCTGGCTTAGTTAATACTGTGAGAACTGATAAATTGGGTTCGGATTTCAAACTGCCACAAAAACTCTGTATGGAAATGCTACAATTAAGTTTTAACAAGACAGAAAGCAGATTAATAATTTATAGCATAAAATGATGGGGAGGTTTAGGGTATGGATGAATGAATAAAAAATCTGGGATGTAAAGAATTGATTAAAGGACTGGAAGAAATTCAATATATAAATCACAAGTAAATAGATGTAGGAGATGATCAGGCTGAGACCAAGGAGGGGTCAAATATGTCATCAGTCTCGAATCCCTTTGCACCCACAAGGGATCTAAGTCCACCTTGAATTCCGTTGACTTTTATCTACCACCAATTCACTTTGACTGTAACTAGTTCAGATTCTTGTAGAGATGGTTACATGCAATAAACCTGTATTCATTTGAATCAACTTGGCTCCTGATTTCTTGCGCTTGACATACTTCAGTTTGCTACATTTTTATTTCAAGTATTGCTCTTTAGTTCCTGGCAATAAGCAGATAACAGGGTGTAGCAAATTGTAATAGGGTTACAACATCTTTTTGCAAGGCACTCTGGAGAGGCCTTGATGCATATCACTCCTGTGATTAAAAGCTATAATTATCATGCAGTTTCCTGTCCTTTCCTCTTCATTTTCCAAATAGGGAAAAGGGTAAACAAAGCAGCTATTTTTTGCAGATCCTCTGACAATCTAAAATGCTCCTAAGTCTTTGGAATAGTGTAAAGCTGAAGAACAAACTCAGCATTTGTGTTATACTTCAAGAAAACCTCTTGTTCACCTATGAAGTACAGAAATAACTGTACCATGCAATACATTCAGTTTTTCTTTCCCAAGAAAAGTTTTTCTTCACCAAGTCAATTAAAACCACAATGAAGTAAAAATAATTATCATTCTATTACTCAACCATCAGCTCAGATTCCCAAAAAGAATGGGGTAGGGATCTGTTTGTGTCTTACACTCTATCTAAATGCTATGCAAAACAGAGAGCTATAGATTGAACAACAAATAATTTTCAAATTAAAATATGCAGTATAATTATGCCTTACTTGATCGCCCGAAGATCCAATATCCTTCTCGAACATTTTGTGTATACATGGGTATAATAGGCTAAAGAAAAAGAAATATTTTTAAAAAATACTTAATTATATTAAACTCTAAGAGCCCTTCAGCCCCTATTTTATTTATTTATTTATACAGGTAGTCCTGAACTTACAACAGTTTGTTTAGTGGCTGAAGTTACAATTGGACTGAAAAAAGTGACTTAAGACCATTTTTCACACTTAGGACTATTTCAGCTTCCCTATGGTAATGTGATCAAATTCAAGACACTTGGCTACTGGCTTTTATTTATGAAGCTTGCAGTGTCCCAGGGCCATGTGACCACTTTTTGTGACCTTCTGACAAGCAAAATCAATGGGGAAGCCAGATTCACTTACTAACTTAAGAACTGCAGTGATTCACTAAACAACTGTGGCAAGCAAAGTTGTCAACTGGGGCTCACTTAACAATTGTCTAGCAATAGAAAGTTTGGACTCAGACGTGATTGTAAGTTGAGAACTACCTGTACTTCATATTTTGTAATCACCCATTTCTCTGGGAGTGGAAATCTGGTCAGTACACAATATCATCAATAAAATTAAACATTAAAATCAGAATAATTTAGAATTAAAAGTTTTAAAATTATAAAAACATCATTATAAAAATTTCAAAAGGTGAAGAATTGTTCCCAGAGGGATAATATGTGGCAGTTTTGAATGTGTATGAGAAGAGCCAGTTTTCTCACCATTTTAAGCTACTCTTCGTGCAAAAGTTGGGTTAAACATTAAGCTCTTGGGCACCCCTTATTTTGATACACTAAGGTCTTTTCACACAGCAGGTATCATAATTTCTTACTGATCTTGCTTAGTTTTGATGCATACACCTAACATTCATATCTTTTCTAACTCAATCTGCACTTAATATATGCATAATTATTATCACTGGTTGACTCTAGTTTTTCTTAATATTTAAGACTGACCCTTCGGCCTCATAATCTTCATCTATGTGTAAAAAAAATATAAGACTAGGAACACCAATCATAATGTAATAATGTCTGGTCAAATAATTGTATTGTCAAGCCCCAAGGGGCTTGCCATTCGGTGGGGGGGGGTAGCAAGCGAACAATCCCACCCCCACCAGCACGCCTTGTTGTCGGCCCCGACGTTGCCCTGCGCGCCAGCCCAGCCACGGACGGTACCGGAGCCAGCCTGCAGCACCCCGCCGGCCAGCTGGGAGGAGGAGAGCAGCCGACGGCCTCTCAGCCAGCCTTGGATGCCGCAGGAGATGCCGCGGCTGCTGCGCGGTGTCCCGCCGGCCAGCTGGAAGGCGGGGAGCAGCTGGCAACACCAGGCGGCGTGTGGCCTCTCCCCGGCGCTGGGGAGGATACAGGAGCTGGCGCAGAGCACCCCGCCGGTCAGCAACGCACCCCCAGTGTGGCCATAGAAGGGGAGGAGGTGCACATTACCAACCGCCTAGCTGAAAAGGACTGGCCAGCGGCTGAGCAAACAGACCTACCATTAAGATTGAAAGCAGCGGACATGGGGCAGCAGCAGCAGATGGGTGGACGCTGGACTGCGGGGGGCGGGGCTGCACGGGAAGAGGGGTTAGAGCACAAGGGTGGGGTTATAAGGGTAATCAGCCGGATGGTGGTTTGTGGGCGGAGGGTGGGGATGTGGGCGTGGACATACTATGAAGAGCTCTGGGGACAAGCCATTCCCAGTGCTGACTTTGTTAGTTAGTGAATAAAATTACTGACGTGCACCGAGTTCCTGCGTTCCTGGCCTTCATTCCGGACGACTTAGGACTTGGATTGTCAGTAAGTCAGCACTCCCCTTCCTTTTTGCCTACCTTCTGCCCTCACCTCTGGAGGATGGCGGAGGGGAAGCAAGATGCTCCTCAGGTGGAGGACACCTCGCTGGCTGGGGCCGCAGCAACTGCCCTGACAGGACCTGTCCAGACAGTCGTGGAAGGGGGAGCAGCCAGTAGTGAGGCCCAAGACCTTCCAGGGCTCCGGCTCTGCGGCGGTGACCACGGATGCTGAGGTTGCCAAGCCAAGGGAGGAGTGGTGGCAGAGCCCAGCATTGACATCACTGGAGGCTGGCCGGCCCCGCAACCCGCCGGGTAGGTCATCCCTACTGGGTTAGAGGGAGAGACGATTAACGGGCGAGGATGAAGACGAATGGAGCTACTCCACCGCTCCTGGCGAGTATACGTTGCATGTCCTTCGAGAATGGTTCGGTGAAGGCAGCTGTCAGGGCCGCTCCTCGCGCCAAAGGTCAGATGGCACTTCTGGACGGGCGGACACGTCGCATTTCCGACTGAGCAGTCCGCGTCTTCGGCTGCCCCAACTGGGAGATGCCATGACAACGGGGCCTGCAATTTCTGGGATGGATTCCGCGGGCCCTTTGGGTCCGGCAGCATGGCCTACTGGCACGGGGCCCGTCGGCTGGGCACAGCCTCCTGGCAGAAGGGCACATGGTCAAGCTGCGGTACCAGGGCCAGCCATGCCGGCCGGAGGTGGTGGGGTAGTGCCGCCTGCGCAATGGGGCCCGGGTCAACAGTGGGGCCCGCCAGCCCTCCTCATAACTTTTGACGGGGATCCGGACAGGTTGGCAATGTTCCTAAGCCACGTGGTGAGCCACCTGGACCGATATGGCCATTTATACCCATCTCAATGGGCCATGGTAGTGGGGGTTACGGCAGGGCTACAAGGAGAGGTGTTGGCATGGGCTGCCGACCTCTATAGCGATCATGCTAGGGTGCTTGGCAATGTAGGATTGTTTTTGGAGGCACTTCACCATCGCTTTGAGGATGCCTCCCGGGTTCAGCGGGCCGAGTCGGAACTCCTGTCCTTGAGGCAGGGGGGCTGACCGGTAGCGGAATATGTCTGTGACTTCCGACGACTAGCCGGCCGGCTTAGTTCGTCATGGCCTGACAGGTTACTAATCCACCATTTCCGGGCCGGGCTGGATCAGGAGCTGCGCCAGGCATGTATTTACAGGGGCATTCCCAATCGCCTCCGGGAATGGTTTCGCGTGGCCGTGGACCTCGATACCAACCTCAGAGAGATCCAGAGGAATCAGGACACCGGCCAGGCACGGGTACCTGTGGAGAAACCGAGGGAGAGCGGACAGAAGCTACCCACTAGTCCGGCTGGCTATCCCAGAGCGACCAGTCCGTCTAGTGCACGGCGTTTCGTTGCTTCCAGTGTAATCAGCCAGGACACCGGGCAGCCGAGTGTCCGGCTCCCACTCCATGAGTGTCCAGTACCCCGAGGGGCCCAGCGCAGACGCCTCGGAAGGGCCCTGACGCATCGAAAGCTGTGGCCCATCCGAAGACCCCGTCAACACCACTGGTATTACCTGGGAGGGACACCATGGCGACGGCACAGTATCGGACAGTCGACGAGGAAAGTGATGACGACCCCGTCAACAATCCGATGGTGAGCGAACCTATAGCCCCTTTCATTCTACCTGTAGTCTTGACGAGCCCCCACTCCGGGGTACGGTGGGAATGTAAGGCACTGATAGACACAGGGTGCACCCGCTGCTTATTCAGCCAAGCGTTAGCCCTGGAGCATGGGATCCAGCTACATAGGTTGGCCCAGCCTGTACGGTTCGAACAGGTAGACGGCTCCCTGTTGGGCGGAGGTCCGGCGACCCATATCACCGAGCCAGTACGATTGGAGCTTGGAGCCCATTGGGAAATCATCCGGGTCGTAGTGGCGCCTGCCATGAGTGAAGCCGTGATCCTCGGCCTGGCATGGCTGGATAAGTGGGAACCCACTATTTGGTGGGAGGGAGGGTACCGTAGGGTACGCCTGAGTGTGGGACGCCAGCCCCCCAGACAGCTTCAGGCCCCAGGATTAGACACACCGGCCCCAGTGTGTGGAGTGAGTAGGGGAGGGGGGACCTGTTTCCCAGAGAATATCGGGTCTTGGCCACAGTGTTTAGTGAGACAGAGTACAACCAACTACCCTCTCATCGACTGACGGACTGCGGCATTGAAATTGAACCTGGGACCAAGCTTCCAAAGCCTCGGATGTATGCCATGGCACCCAGAGAATTGGAGGAACTGCGACGGTTCATTGATGTGAACCTGGCAAGAGGCTTTATACAACCAGGTCGATCCCGGGTTGCTGCCCCTGTATTGTTCCAAGAAAAAAAGACGGATAATTACGTCTCTGTGTTGACTTTCGAGGCCTGAATGCTGTTTGCGTGGAACATCTGTACCCACTCCCCCTTATGAAAGACCTGCTGGCCCAATTAGGGAGAGGATCTTTACCAAATTAGATCTGCGGGAGGCGTACTATCGAGTACGAATACGACGGGGGGACGAATGGAAGACGGCGTTCAATTGTCCTTTAGGGAGTTTTCAGTACCGCGTTATGCCGTTCGGGCTGCAGGGGGCTCCCGCTGTCTTCATGCAATTAATAAACCAAGTACTGCACGAACACCTTTATCGGGGGGTCCTCATCTACCTTGACGACATTCTGATTTATACCACAACCATGGAGGAGCATGTTGCACTGGTACGACAGGTATTGCAGAAACTATTGGAGGTGAAATTATACGTTAAGTTATCCAAATGCGAGTTTCACCGTACGCAGTTGGATTATTTGGGCTATCGCATATCAGCGGCAGGAGTGGAAATGGATCCACTTAAGGTTAAAGCAGTTCTTGACTGGCAGGCTCCCACCACATGAAGGCAGTTGCAAAGTTTCCTCGGATTCGCCAATTTCTACCGGCAATTCATCCCATCGTTTGCTGGCGTGGCTCACCCTCTAACGGAACTCTTAAAGACAAAACACCTAAAAGGTAAGCCATGACCTGGCCAGCCGGTAGGATGGACCATGGCCTGCCAAAAAGCATTCGAGGAACTCAAAGCACTTTTTGCGAGGGAGCCGATATTGCTCCATCCAAACCCCGACGCCCCGTTCGTTGTTCAGGCTGACGCGAGTGACGTAGCTGTGGGGGCTGTCCTACTCCAACCAAACCAACGGGTTACTGCAGCCGTGCGCATATACGTCCCGCAAATTTACCGTGACGGAGCGCGGGTGGGCCATTTGG